GGGGGGACATATCGGATCTTAGTGGGCGCCCACGCCCCCAATGGAATACTGTGAAAATTTGGCTGCTCTTGCTCTTACGGTTTGGGCTGTGGCCGTATCCCCTTAAAAATCGGTCTTTCATTTTATAATCTTTAGGGATAACTTACATACGTTACATTCAACTCAAGGGACAAATCCAAAATAATTTAAAACAAGAAAGGAAAGCTAACTTCGGGTGGAGCCGAAGTTGATATACCCTTGCAGAATACTCTGTAAATTATATTCTCCAAATTTATTCATATGATGCGTTCTTAATACTCATAAAAATCCCAACTTCCTAACTTTAAAAACACCAAAGTTATGGCATTTTCAATCGTTCAGTTAGGATATAGTCGGCCGATCCTTATGAAATTTGGTAGGTCGGATTGATTGGCCAAATATAAAACCCATAGAAAATCGCAACATCCTAATTTAACAAACACCAAAGTTATGGCATTTCCGATCAACCAGTTATATGGCGGCTATAGGATATAGTCGGCTGATCCTTATGAAATTAGATAGGTCGGATTGATTGGCCAAATATAAAACACATAGAAAATCCCAACTTTCTAACTATACAAACACCAAAGTTATGGCATTTCCGATCAATCAGTTATATGGCAGCTATAGGATATAGTCGGCCGATCCCGGCCGTTCCGACATATATACTGCGTGCAGTATAGGAAAGGAAAGAAGGGTGTGTGCAAAGTTTCAATTCGATATCTTTAAAACTGAGAGACTAGTTCGCGTAGAAACAGACAGACGGACAGACGGACATGGCTATATCAACTCAGGAGGTGATCCTGATCAAGAATATATATACTTTATAGGGTCGGAGATGTCTCCTTCACTGCATTGCACCCTTTTGACCAAAATTATAATACCCTCTGCAAGGGTATAAATATTATATTAGGGAAAGAGCGCTAGATGAACGCATAACTCTGCGCAAAACGACTCATTTTATGACTACTATATGATAAAGTCGGATGTCTTTAGCGCCATTTTCAGAGTAGATCTAAATAAAACTAAATTAATACATTGCCAATTATACTGGTCTGAAAGGGGCTGCACTTTTTATACCCTTGCAGAGGGTATTATAATTTTGGTCAAAAGTGTGCAACGCAGTGAAGGAGACATCTCCGACCCTATAAAGTATATATATTCTGGATGAGGATCACCTCCTGAGTTGATATAGCCATGTCCGTCTGTCCGTCTGTCTGTTTCTACGCAAACTAGTCTCTCAGTTTTAAAGCTATGGAATTGAAACTTTGCACACACCCTTCTTTCCCATATAACTGAACGATCGGAAATGACATAACTTTGGTCTTTTTAAAGTTAAGAAGATGGGATTTTCTACGGGTTTTATTTTTGTCCAACCAAATAGTAGCGAGCTAGGAGTTTATTTTATCTTAGGTGTACTTAAACTTTTTTGACATTAAATATGAAGTAATTTTATGATTTTATTTTTTTTATACATATATTACTTATTTATTATTTTGTAAAATAAGGAAAAATAAAGACTTTTATGTTCTAAAAATATATAGCCTACCAACCAGAAATTATTTGAAAATTGTATCTGTTAATAGCGTGTTGACTGCATTAAGTTGCACAGCTATGGTGTACTTAAACATTTAAAATAAATTAGTTATGCATACCGTGCATAAAAAGTAATAAAGCTGAGATTCCTTCGTTGAATGGGCCGCATGTCGACTATTTTAAAACCAGCAGGAAGAAGTTATTTTGAGTTATTTTCCAAATTAACTACTTGAAACTTTTATTATTGTTTTGGGTGAATCCATTAACGCTTAGTATCAAAAAAAAAAATGGAACATTTTTTAAAAAATTTTGTATTGAACTAGTTTTATTAATTTATTCCAACTTCGCTGTCTTTAATAAGTCGAAAGGGAGGGCTTTTTTGAAATGTAAAAACTTACAAAACTGCAGAAGGACAGCATTTAGCTTTTAATTAAACAATTTTTATTTTTACTTAGCTTTAATAGAAGCCTTTGAAGTCAATAATTTTAGTTTTGTTCTCCTGGCTATAGGATACATTTTTATACCCGTTACTCGTAGAGTAAAAGGGTATATTGTATTCGTGCAAAAGTATGTAACAGCTAGAAGGAAGCGTTTCCGACCCTATAAAGTATATATATTCTTGATCAGGATCACTAGCCGAGTCGATCTAGCCATGTCCGTCTGTCCGTCTGTCTGTCCGTCTGTCTGTCTGTCCGTATGAACGCTGAGATCTCGGAAACTATAAAAGCTAGAAGATTGGCATTTTGCATGCAGATTCTAGGAGTTCCTACGCAGCGCAAGTTTGTTTCAAAAAGGTGCCACGCCCCCTTTAACGCCCACAATCGCTTATATACGATTTAAAAAACTTAAATATTTCGGAAAAGTAAAAATGCAGTTTTATTGTGTTTATCAATACCTATCGAAATGTAGAAGAAATTTTTCAAATCGGACCATTCGTTAAAAAGTTATGCGTGATCAAAGTTTCTATCTCCATCTCCCTCGCACTCCCTTTACCTGAGTAACGGGTATCTGATAGTCGGGGCACCCGACTATAGCGTTCTCTCTTGTTTGGTACTGAATTCCCGTGAATTCACCACGCTTACCGGCTCACAAAGGAAATGTACACCAAACTCATGCGCTAGGTGATGTTTAAAAAGTTCATGAGGGTCCTCATGCGGAAAGGTCCGACTGGGGATCTATATAGTTAGGTGGTATGGATCTTAAGTTACGTAAATTGAGAAGTTTTTAATAGACAAACGCCTTCTGGATTTAAAATAAACGTCCTAAAGAAGTGTAAACGTGGTTGACTTTGGAAAAAGCAAGCAAGTCGTCATAAAGTTTTAAAGCCACGATCAGCATTCGAATCAATTGCACAAAGTTGACGTAGGAAAAAGTCCTGCATAACATCTTAGACAATTTAAAATATATTTTAATGAAATACGACGTCCTTAAGCATTATCACAGGGTTTTGTTTAAATTGGATTTGAAAAAAAAAAATTTGCTTGCTTTTTAAGTACGCAATAAATTGTTTGTGTTTTAATAAAATACATTCGAGGCCACTTCTAACCCTCGCGGATACAAGTTTTAAAATTTAATAATAACTAGATTGGATTTGCATAGTTCTTGGGATATAGTTCGGTATTGACAAATGAAAACAAGAGAGAACGCTATTAGATACCCGTTACTCAGCTAAACAACTTAATATAAATATGCCTTCTTTTATGTTTTTCTCCGCTCGAATTAGCACCTTGGCCAGCTGTTCCAAAGTCATCCGTTAGATGGCGCTACGGGCCATGAAAGCGGAAATGTAGGCGCTAGCCAGGCTTAAGCGTTTAATGGGTTTTTGGGCGTTAAAGTGGGCGTGGCAAACTTTTATTAGGCCAATCGAGATCTCAGCGTTCATACGGACAGACAGACAGACGGACATGGCTAGATCGACTCGGCTAGTGATCCTGAACAAGAATATATATACTTTATAGGGTCGGAAACGCTTCCTTCTACCTGTTACATACTTTTGCACGAATACAATATACCCTTTTACTCTACGAGTAACGGGTATAAAAATAATAATTAAATATGGCAATCCAATGATTCCAATTTCGAAGTAACAATTTTTTTAAATGTGCCTATATTACTAAAAACCATGAAGCTATGTAAATTTTGAGCTGAACTTGCCATCGTTTATATGCTGCTATATGACATTGTTGTCCGATTTTGACAAAACTAAAAGCGTAATTCTGATATTGTAAATAATAACTATATCTTAAAGGAATATTTTGATAAATAGAAAAACAGCAAAATAAAAATTTTGTTTCATATTTATTTTTTTAATTTTTTGATTTTAATCATTTTTATACCCGTTACTCGTAGAGTAAAAGGGTATATTGTATTCGTGCAAAAGTATGTAACAGGTAGAAGGAAGCGTTTCCGACCCTATAAAGTATATATATTCTTGTTCAGGATCACTAGCCGAGTCGAACTAGCCATGTCCGTCTGTCCGTCTGTCTGTCCGTCTGTCCGTCCGTCTGTCCGTCTGTCCGTCCGTATGAACGCTGAGATCTCGGAAACTATAAAAGCTAGAAGATTGGCATTTTGCATGCAGATTCTAGGAGTTCGTACGCAGCGCAAGTTTGTTTCAAAAAGGTGCCACTCCACCTTTAACGCCCACAATCGCTTACATACGATTTTAAAAATTTAAATATTTCGGAAAAGTAAAAATGCAGTTTTATTGTGTTTATCAATACCTATCGAAATGTAGAAGAAATTTTTCAAATCGGACCATTCGTTAAAAAGTTATGCGTGATCAAAGTTTCTATCTCCATTTCCCTCGCACTCCCTTTACCTGAGTAACGGGTATCTGATAGTCGGGGCACCCGAATATAGCGTTCTCTCTTGTTTGACCTATGTATATAATATAGATGTCCGATTTTAATTTCATTAAAACCGTAATTCCATAGTATATAAATATTACAAAATCCCAAAGAAGAACACAAAAAAAAAAACTACAAAGTTATACTTTTTTTCCCCTTTTTTTCCTATGGGAAAAAAAGAAAAAGTATAGCCTTAAATCTGAGAGACTAGTTTGCCTAGAAACGGACAGACGGGCGAACGGACAGATGGACATGGCTAGATCGACTCTCCTGGTGATGCTGATCAAGAATATATATACTTTATATGGTCGTAAATGTCTCCTTCACTGCGTTGCAAACTTTTGACTGAAATTATAATACCCTCTGCAAGGGTATAAAAATATAAAGCTTACGAGTTCCAACTTATTTGATAGGTTAGATTTCTAAGCAACTATGGTTTACACCAAAATTGCCCTGCAGAAAAATATTTTTTTACGTGGTTAACTATGAAAAGGGCTTTATATCTATTTATTACGCGACTAAAACTACCATGATAATTTTTGAGATGTACATATGTTATACCTGTTAGTCTTAATTTAATAATTTTGTTTGTTACAGATTTTGATAACGCTTACAAAAATGTTTTGAAAAAAGATAAAATAACTTTTTATAAAGAATGTGGAAATGTGAAAGGGGAAACTAATGAAACGATATCGGAAGACCATTGACAAGCAGCATAGCAGCACGTGAAAATTCAAACATTTTTACTTTGGAGATGGAGCATCTGGATCTGGCGCGATGTCTTGGCAACACAAACCAAATTTTGAACAGTCTAAGCACATTTGAACAGCAAGGTGAGTGCCAATAAGGAAGTTGTCAAGCAAAAGAAGCTACTGCATTGCAACCAAAATGTACAGGCATCTTAAACGCGATGACACATTCTGTCGGAACTGAAAAGATTTAATATAAATAAAATGATGCAAATGTTTTTCGTATAGATTGACCGTAATGCTGTATATCTGGTTCTATGCGTACATAATTTTTCTTTTGTCAAAAGTAAACTAAATGATTTCGAAAGTGGAATTCGACATTATATTGTACCAATAAATTGAGATAACAAGAATTATGAGGAAGTGTTTAGTTGAAAGTAGCGTCTTAAGTAATTTCAATAAGCTTAGTTTGTGCTGCCCGTAAATTGTGACCTTTATAATAATTTCGTTCCTGATGAAATTGCCAAGTAAGTCTAGTTAAGTTAAAAAAAAGCCTGATTGGTGAAAAGAATCACAATATTTTAATAATTTAAACTGATTGTACCTTAAAAGAAAATTGTTCGCTCCGCTACAAGTTGCTTTTATTAAGCTGACCGTTTCTTTGTAGCATACTTTTAAGTCCATAGTTTACAATAACTTTTTATACGACTTTAAGACACCAATATTCCTATGGATTTGCCCTGATGCAGACGCTGCACTATGGGGAATTTGCCCGATTTTTTGGAATAAATTAATAACTCGCGAACTATGTAACATATTTCAGTGAGGTTTTTTTTATAGTGTTCTACATAACTATACACACCTGTTGGAAAAGTGAAAATATACCACCCCCCCTCCCCCCATTTTTAAGAATTTTTTTAAACAAATTTAGAGCTAAATGCTCTTTATTTTCAATTTCAATGTTGTACAAAAAATTATAGTCGTTTTCTTCTTCATAATTATCAACATCTAGAGACTCGTCTCCAGGTTCATATTCGCATAATAACAATTGAATGACTTCTGGTGGAAGAGCAAGTAGCTTATGTTTTCGGACGCGCTTCTTCAAATTCATTGATGAAATGATGGGGTCTGAAGTAACCATGGCTCTCTGAAAAACATCTGTAAAGTTGGAGATTCGACTGTGGGATCAACTTGCTTGCTAACAAAAGTGAATTCGCCATCTTCTTTTTCTCGAAGACCCTTTTGCTTATGCAAAACTTCCAGCAGGGCTGCGTTTTTCATCAAGAGATTGGTTTCTAAAAAATGAAATTACGCGAAAAGTCGCACGAAGCGCACGATGAGACAACATGTTCTGAATTCGCAATTAATGACTCTACAACATGGATATAGACACTTACTGAACAAAGTTAAACATTTTTGTAAAACTCTATTGAAAGTTTAACTTTCTTTCCAAAACCCAAACGAAAACATCACCTGCTACATTTACAAATTGTTAAAATTGGACGCACATATAAAGCAATATATAAGTATTTTTACACAGAACATACCTTGAGAATTGGTAATCATTTCAAATTTGACTGTCTTACGTCATTTTGTTGCAGAGATAATGATTTGAAAGTGAGCTTCAAAGTTAAGCAAAATGTAAACAAACCATGTGCGCTTGCAACAGCTGACTTTAACAGTTGGTATTTAAATACTAGACTTTTAAGTTAACATTTGCGGTATGTTACCAAACAGCTTGATGTTTTCTTAATGCATTATAAAAAAAAAAAATTTTAAATCGGCATACTTTTAAAAAATACATTTATTCCAAAAAATCGGGCAAATTCCCCATAGTGCGCTGTTTTTCGACTAGTCTTATAATGAAAAATGTATCTACCTTACAGGGTCACAAATGTCTTTTCTGCTTTTCTACCATCTCACTATGGGGCCAACGACCACTTTTGTTGGCCAAAATTAATAACTCGCTAAACTTTAAAGATATCGAGATAAAACTTTGCCGTCGTTTGTCGTTTTTTGGTATTCTTAGGCAACATATATGTTAAAAAGAATATGATTGAACGAAAATATCCCATTTTTCAGATAATCGAATAAAATTTTTTTTTATTATATAGTTTATAAATACACCTATGTAGTAGCTTGACTGTTCTCTGCCTTTGACTAGAATTCAAAATGCAAAACAAAATTTTCTTCGATCCACAAAGGTGCAATGTAAATGCATAAAAATTGGATTAAACAAATTGTATTGATAAGTTTAAAAAAGGCACTTGCTATTAAACCTCTTGCTCTTCAGATTCAAGTCCAATATTGCATGGAAAATCAAAAAGATTATTATAATCAACGAAAATACTGTCAAAGTTGCAAAACTTGAGGTTATGAACTTAAAAAATAAAATTTCGGAATAAGGGGCAATAAGTGGCGATTGTAACAATTTAATTTAATACTCTACAAATCTCAATAGGTTTCAGAAGTAGACTACGCTCAAGTCACTTTGTTTGCTTTACTTAAAAGTTAGTTTTCTAATTAAAAAACGCGATAGATTTCAACCGTTTAAAAACACAACAAGAGAGAACGCTATAGTCGGGTGCCCCGAATATCAGATACCCGTTACTCAGGTAAAGGGAGTGCGAGGGAGATGGAGATAGAAACTTTGATCACGCATAACTTTTTAACGAATGGTCCGATTTGAACAATTTCTTCTACATTTCGATAGGTATTGATAAACACAATAAAACTGCATTTTTACTTTTCCGAAATATTTAAATTTTTAAAATCGTATATAAGCGATTGTGGGCGTAGGAACTTCTAAAATCTACATGCAAAATGCCAATCTTCTAGCTTTTATAGTTTCCGAGATCTCAGCGTTCATACGGACAGACAGACAGACAGACGGACAGACGGACATGGCTAGATCGACTCGGCTAGTGATCCTGATCAAGAATATATATACTTTATAGGGTCGGAAACGCTTCCTTCTAGCTGTTACATACTTTTGCACGAATACAATATACCCTTTTACTCTACGAGTAACGGGTATAAACACTTAGTACACACCACCATTCATCGAAATTATATCCCAAACATTTTTTTGGAACGCTTGTAAGCCTTTTTTTAAACACTTTTCGAATTTCCAAAGCACGAGGCTTGCGTCTTAAACATCTGATTTAAAAGCTGTTATCTTAACTGAAGCCCACGCTATCGAAATTCCTGAAACGTAGCATTGCAGATTGGTCTTCTGTGAATGTATCCTAACACACCTTTTTTGGTTTTGACGACATTTTAAAAATGGTGTTTGGCCAACAAAAGTGGTTGTTGGCCCCATAGTGCATCTGAACAAACCTTATTTTTCTCTGGTGGAAGCATTCGTATCAAAGACCAATGCAAAAAAAAGTAAAATCATAGTTTCAAAATAATTTTTATTACTTGAGTTTTATATTTGGTTGAAAAATATAATTATTATTTTTAATTTATATTTTTTGTTCTCAAATATAGTTTTTTTTTAAAGTGTTATAATAATAAAAGTTAGAAATCATAAAAGAAATAGATTCTCTTTGTTTTTATGTCAATTCCAAGTGATTGATTTTTTGATGCAAAAATCACTTGAACAATATCAAATCGTAAATATAGTCTTAAAAATTTTAATTATTACCCAAAATATTTGAACAAAAAAATCTTTTAGCAATAAAACAAAAGAAAATACCTTAAACTTAGTATTAGTAGTCACCAAGAAAGGTGTTAGAGACTTACATTAAGAAATAAAAAGTTGTTATCCAACTTTTAAAAGTTTCACTCAAAGTTCAACCATTATTCTTTAGGTTTCAAATTCAACTGTTGCTTTTTAATTTAAAAAACTTGGAAATAAATGATAAAATAAATAATTTATTTTGCTGCTTTAAACAATCTTGTTTGTTCATATCCGGTGTAAAAGATTACTCATAAATTAATTTATCGTCGATATTCCCAAAATATTAGTCCTAAAGATTTACATAAAAATCGCGCAATGTAATAGTAATCAAAAATTGTTTAAAACTGCAAAATAAAAGTTGTGGAAGTACGAATATGTACAATAAATGAATTAGTAACCATTATTTATTGTGCCTAATACTTGTGTTCTTACTAAGTTTAATTGATCAGGCAAACAAAAAATATACCAAATTTTAATTTAACAAATTCGTCACGAAGCATCGGTTTTCATGTGTTCAATGATATAGAGAAGGTCATTATAAATCCCTTTAACGAAAATATAAAAGCACTAGCTGTACCCGGCGCGACTTCGTTCGCTTAAAATTAGTTTTGAGTACGGTTGTCAAGACTTTCCAATTTCCACACCACCCCTGAGGTAGAGAAATTGGTGCGTTTTTTTTAATGTGGTAACTCTAATTAGACCTATTCCACTGAAACTTTCTAGGTTTAATAATGTTAATTAATATGATTACTTTAAAACCTCTGTGTAAACAACATTTTTAGAAGATCCTTCAGGAGCGAGAATAATAAGGCTACTGGCAGAGCTAACTCTAGAGCATGTGACATAAAATTGTCCATGAGAGAAGCAATCTTCTCTAAGATCTAGTCCAGCCAGCTTCAAAGTCTGCCCCTGCGATTTATTTATAGTTATTGCAAAGCAAACTTTTAGAGGGAATTGTAGCCTTTTAAACTTAAACGGCAGACTGGATGGTATTAATGGGATCCTGGGTATAAACACTGTTTCCCCCTTCGCGCACCCCGTAAATACTGTTGCTTCGATTACATTCTTATGAAGACATTTTATCTGCAATCGTGTCCCATTGCATAACTTTGGGGGACTTAAATTTCGCAATAACATTACGTGTGCTGCAATCCTAAGAGACAGATTATGCTGAGGAATTCCTGGAGGATTCAAAGAATTTAAAAATTCAATAGGGTAATGAACAGCATTATCAGCATCAGGAACAGAGTCGACCGATTTATAGGAGACTTCTAAACCATTAAATGCCAACAAAAAGTTTGTCAAGAAGGTTTTACCTGTCCCTCCAGGTGCATCCAAAAAAAATATTTCACCCATCTCAGCCCCAACGCTTTGTAAAACTGTATTGTATACGACTTTTTGCTTTCGCACTACATATTTGTGCTACTTGTTTGTAATTTGGAATTTGTTGTTTTCAAAT